ACAAAAAAAAAAAAGGGGGTGGGGGGAATAAAAAAAAAATGCACCGCTGTGAAAGTGACTCTGACTCAGCGACCCTCCAATCGCGCTTCTGAGGTTGGAGATCCTAACTGGGGGATGTGCACGTCCTTCTCCCGCGATGTGGCTGGCGGATTCGAACTGTGGACGTTTCCGTTACCAGCGCAGCCCGCGGCTGCAGGCGTCGGAAGGGAGCGGCGCGCGCACGGCGGGGCCGCTGGGGATGCGCGGGGACTCCCAGTGACAGCGCAGCCCCCGGGGCCGGGCCGGGGAAGCGGGAGCAGCACACACACCCCCCGGCGGCACCGCCCGGGCACACCCGGAGCGCCACCTGCAAACACCGGGCGTCCGCGGCGACAGCGCCCGCACGCCGCTCGTCCTCCCTCCGAAGACGGCTGGAGGCTCGGCGCTGCGCGGCTGGGCTGCTGTCTGACAGCGGAGCAAGCTCCGGCCCAGGAGTGCGCGCCTTTCCCTCGGAAACTCTCCCCTCGGGCCGCCCGCGGAGCCGGCTGGGGCAAAGGGGCGTGGGACCGCCGACCTGGGCTCGGGGTCCAGTCCCGCCCGGCGGGCACCGGAGAACGGAACCGCCGCTCGACACCCTGCCAAGTCGTAGCCGCAGGTGCGAACCGCGCTCCCCGCCGACGTCCGGGCAGACAGTGGCCGCGGCGGCCCTGGGAGCCGGGCGGTGACAGCTGTCAGGGCCGCCGCCGCGGCGACCGCCTCGTCTCCCCTCCCCCTCCTCGACTCCGGGGTTCGGCCGAGGACCCGCCGCCGTCCCCGCCGCCGCCGCCGCCGCCGCCACCCCGCCTACCGGTGTTGTAGACGTGCAGCTCGTCCGCGATGCCTTCGTTGCCCCCTCCGAAGATGATCATCAGCTCCCGGATGGCCACGGCCCGGTGTCCGTGCCGGGCTCGGGGGACCGGCCCCGTGAAGGAGGAAACCCGCCTCCAGTTCAGGAGGCTGGGAGCCGCCATCTTCCCAACCCCCGCCCCTCTGCCCAAAATGCACCGCGCCCGGCCAACGCCGCGGCTCCCTCCCGCCCGAAGGCGGGGCCCGCCTGCCCCTGGCGGCGGGGTCACGTGATGGCTGGCGCGCGGGCGTGGCTGGGGGGGCCGCCAAGGGGGGCGAGGAGGCCGAGCGGGGCGGGCGCGTCCTCAGTGCCGCGGGCGTCGCCCTCTCGCCACCCCATCAGCGCCGCCGCTGCCCCAGGCGTCGCTGGCTGCGAGCTTTACGGGGTGGGGGAGACTGTTCCCCCACCAAACCCCCTCCCCACCCACAGCCTCTCGTTTTTTATCTTCGGGAGCAGGTACTGTACAGGTTTTTGCCTTGACGGCCACATTAGTGGAACATCAGTGACGTGCCAGGCTGCGAAGCAGGGCTGGTCCCTGGACGTGAGATGATGAAGTGTGGTGGATCCTTGAGCCGAGCAAGGGAGTCAGACCCTGTCAACAGTTCTGAGTGCTGTGAGCTCGGGAAGGAGGAGGGAGATCTGCCTTCCAAGTGGGCCTGACATGCACATGGGTTCCTGAGGGGCCAAGGATGCTCCAGACAGATGGTGTATGCAGGAAGCTCTGTGAGGAAGGAGGGAACCTGAAAGTTAGCTTGGGACCAGGGAGTACCATACTAAAAAGCTTTTGGAACTGTTTAGCGTACCATGGAAGACTTTTTTATTATTATTATTATTCATTTCAATGAACATGTACAGAGATTTTGGACTGCCATTCATTCATTGTTGCACTTTTCTCCCTGCCCACCCCACCCCCACCCCAGTTCGCTCCTCTCCTTGAAAAGCAAAAGGAAAATTCCTTCATTGGTAT